TACAATATATATATATATATATATATATATATATATATATATATATATATATATATAGGTAGAAAATTTGAAAATATATACAAATATATGTTAAAATGGTTAAAAATAATTTAATAACTAAAATATCAAAAATGTATTTATGTACTTTATCTATTTTAGCAATACTTTTTGAGCCATATTTTGAAACACAAAACATTGGAATTTAGATGAATACTTATTTGCACATTATGTACTGAAAATGTGACAAAACTGTACATTCTGGTACTGACAAAACTGTTCATCAGCCATGTGGGCATTGTTATCAGCTAATGCTGATTATTTTAAAAATAGCCAAATATCGACCAATTTATCATCCTAGCTAGTGTAGTAATGACTGTCTGTTCACATTGCATCTATGGTTTTATTTGCTTTACAGAACAGTGTGTTTCAGTAGTAATACTGTACATTAGTGCTGTGTAAGAGAACATGAGTCATGTTGTGTGTGCGCGCGCATCACTCAATAACATTGCATTACTCACTGTGACTCTTTCTTATTTGAAAAAGAGAAGCAATTAAAGCAATGAAGGTTATTCAAGAAACAGGCATTTTGCAATAGAAAGATCAAACGAACTTTCATTTAATTATCATCCATTTATATAAAGTGAAATGACCGTGAGACTCCTCATAGCAAAGAAAAATAACAGATGAGAACCCTTTAATATATTAATTGTTTTTCCTAGACAGATATACAAAGATTAAATGAGATTAAATGAGAGCAAATGCAGACCTGTAGCTTTTCAGAAGAGATCAAACTGTGCTCACTGCTCAGATGTACTAAAACACCAAAGTTTCATATCAAAAGTCAGAGAACTCCGTATGAACTCAAACATTCATAAGTATATCGCTCTGTACTCTTAATGTATGTTACAGTTGTTTCTATTTTTAATTCTATTAATTTTAGAAGAAATGTCTGCGACAAGGTTGATAATTAAATAAGCTTTAAACTGAGAATCTTGAGCTAAACTTGAGCAGCCTCTAGTAAATCTTTCATCCAGGTCTACAGGTTATTAATGAACCCAGAGCTGGTGGTGAAGGCTCCGTGGGGTGCAGTTTGATTTTGGATTAAGTCCATTGGAAACATAATTACTACCATCATGAGACTGGTCTGCCTTTCTCTGCCCTGGTACTTTCAGTAAATCTATGAGTTCTGACAGCGTTCCACACACTCCCTTTGAATACCTTTTATTTCTGGTGCAAAAGGAGGTCATGAACATGAAATGTCCCTCTTTTCTGTGTTCTCAAGCATTCTTTCCCTGCTTATGTAGCGTGATCACAGATCAGCGGTGGCAGTAGCTCATGCAGGGAAAGCATTGTTGGAATTCCTGGATGATTTGAGCTCTTCTGCACAGTGGCTTTTCCCTTCTCCCCAGCTGCAGGGAAACGCTCCTCCACCCTCTTTCCTGCTGCGTCCTCCCTCCCTCCACAAACACACACACACACACACATACCTTCACGCACAGCCCCTCCAGAACAAAACAAACAATTCCACCGGCACGCACACCTGATTTCATTGTTTTAGCAGTGTACTGCTCGTAATTGTTTTTCCTTATATCCGTTTATCCACTCTTCGTCTTGTAGTATTATAAATCATATATTGTCCCAGAAATCTTTACTATTATTTGGCATTGTGGGTTTGTCACAAAACACTCACTTACATGCTGAGAACATCCTCTGAAATCAAACCTCAACAGGAAGAGCAAGAGCACTTTTGCTTCTTATTCCCTATAGTCTTTCCTGTACAGTAGCAGAAGGAAAATAAAGTCTAAATAATGGATCTAAAATGGTTTCAGTGTTGGTATAATGTTCTGCACAGACTGCAGTTTCAAAAGTCTGCGATCAAGACAGATTGTTGTTAATAATGTACTTTTTGTGCATTAAAGTAATATAAACAACATTCTTACAGGCTTTTAACAAGTAAAACTGATCCCTTATTTATTTTATGTCACTTTTCCAAACAGATTTTTAACATTTTGTTTTGCATATTTTCACTGCTGTTCAAAAGTTTGGGGTCAGAAAGATTTTTTAAGCAAGGGTGCATTTAAGAAAATCTGCATTTATAATGTTACCGAAAATTCTATTTCAAATTTCTATTCATCAAAGGATTCTAAAAATGCATCGTTTTCCACACAAGTATTAAATCTCTTTTCAGTATTGATAATAATAATAATAAATGTTTTTTTTTAGCACCAAGTCAGTATATTAGAATGGTTTCTGAAGGATCAAGTGACACTGGAGACTGAAAATTAAGCTTTGCCATCGCGGGAATAAATCGATTGAAACCGAAAACGGTTGTTTTTAATTGTAATAATATTTCACATTATTACTGTTTTTACTCCATTTTTCATAAAATAATTGAAGCCTCGATGAGCTTCTTTCAGATACATTTAAAAAATCTTACCAACATTTATTTCACATTTAAGTTAGTATTACTGTGTATAACTGCATTGTATATCGATCAATGCTTGGCATTGGCAGCCAAAAAGGACTATTTTTATCTAAAGATCAGAGATAGTGTGGAATATGGTCATCAAAAATTAAAATTGGATGTCGATGCAAAATATTTCTGCGAACATTATAAGCAAAAGTATTAAAATTATACAATAATTTAAGACCCTTTTAAAATGTTATCCTGATTAAAGATGCTACTGTTCATCAAACAAAAGTGACTTAACCATTTCAGATTCACGTTAAAAAATTAGTTCTTCTCACTTGCTTGCTTAATTGTTTGTGATGTCTTTTCGCCTGTCATTATCTGAGATATGTTGCTTCCTGATGTTATGCACGTCATACTCCTTGTTCAGATATGAATCAAAGTTTGCAGGCATTGTACTAAACAGTTCGTTACTTTTTTCAGGTCAACCACGTACAGGATGGACAGAGCGTGCAGGAGGCATCCATGGTGTTCTCAGAGAAGATGGCTCCTGTTCTGGTTTCAGCCCCCAGTGTCGGCTCCATCCCCCTGAAGACCGGCAGTGTCTTTAGTTCTGAGACCAACAATGTTATCGGGTGAGTGAGTGAGTGATCCGACCCTGGGATAGCTGGAGACTTTAAAGCTTAGCTCCATGTGAACAGGCAATATTGCATGCCCCTGCTAAGGAGATGCTGGAGCTAACTTTATAGCTTAAAGCCTTAATAAGTCATTTGGAATTGCATTCCAGTTTTCCATGCACTACTGATCAAAAGTTTGGGGTCTCTTATGCTCACCAACAGTGCATTTATTTAATCAAAATACAGTAAAAAAACAGTAATATCGTGAAATATTATTACATTTTAAAATAACTGTTTTCTATTTTAGTATATTTAAAAATGTCATTTATTCCTGTGATGCAAAGCATCATTACTCCAGTCTTCAGTGTCACGTGATGCTTCAGAAATCATTCTAATATGCTGATTTGATGCTCAGTAAACAAAGGTCTTTATTGTCATTTTAAAATAAAAGTATTAATTTCCTTTTTCAAAAAATCTAACATTTGAATGGCAATGTACATGTACATGTGTCTCCTTGTTCAAAGTAGTCCGTGGCTTTTTTTGCGACCTTGGTTAGCTGATGTTAAATCATCATTGCTATTGTCTGGATCATTAATCTGCCTAATGGTCTGGGCCATTAGTTTTATGAAGTCAGGTCAGATTAAACCAAATATGATGTGTCTTGGCATGAGATCAAACTTTTTGCATTTTTTAAATCAGATGTTCTTTCATTATAATTTGTTTTTAAATCAGGTCTGTCCCTCCTTGTCTGTCTCTGTCTTTTTTGTGTGGCTCTACAAGCTTCAATGATTCAGTATAAATTAATTAATTCATATCATTTTTTTATAGACATCATGGGCAAAGACCCTGTTAAGAGTAAGCAAACAGGCAATACCTTTATGTAAAAGATGATTGGCTTTTCATTTTTTCATTAAAGAAATGTTAAAAACGAGTATTCTGTAATTTGACCTAACATGTTTATTGGAAATGACGAAAAACATCACAGTGAAGTGCAATGAAGAAAACATTGCTTATTAACACAGTGAAATGTGAAACACCAGCTTATGAGGATATGTGAAATGCTTGAGCAAATTATATTTTGCTGTAGTATTGCCAACATGTTTCTGTTAATGCTATGTTTGGTAGCTTAAATATCATCTCAGTAAGAAAAACATTGTGTCTATGAAACTTTCTCACTAGTAATGCTTCTAATGTGCATTTCCTTCAATTCATTACTGTCACTACATCACAACCTATGGAAGTTTCTTTTCACCACAGAATAATTTTTTTTTTTAAACTACAGTAATTTATATCAGTTTATATCTTACAATTCTGATTTTTTCATATAATATAAACTCGCTATTCTGACTTTTTTTTTTTTTTTTTTTTTAAGAGTTCTTCATGTGTATGCTGTCAGTTCAGGTGTCTAAAAGAAAGAATTGCGAGAAAATGTTATAGTTGCAAGATGTAAACTCACAATTGCTAGATATAAACTCACAATTGTAAGAAGAAATTGTGATATATAAACTTGCTATTGTGAAAAAAAGTCTGAACCGTGAGGAAAAAAGTCGCAGTTTTTTTATTTCTTTATTTATTTTTTATTTTAATTCCATGGCAGATAAATGTGTTCTTTTTCAGATTGTCATATTGTATCTTGAAGAATATTTGCTTGCTCAAATGTGTTTGAATGAATGTTTGCTCATTTCTCTTTTTGGATAAAGTAGTAACAGTTTTTCCACCCACAGTTACCCTGAGCGCTCTTTCAGCCGGCCATCTCATTCTACATCCCCGTCTGGAGAAGTGAGCTCCAGCCCCTCCGACCAGACGGACACCATCCGCAAACCGTCCGCCTCCAGGGGCAAGAGACGCAGGAGGAACCCTGAGCTGGATGAGTCCCAGTACGAAACCGAGTACACAACGGGAGGAGAGACTGCCAACGATTTTGACGAGGATCTATGGAAACGGTAAGAATTGGTTGTGGGTCATGCAGGCCCAGGGTTAGTAGCGCATTCCCTTGGATACAGCAAGGAATTCTGTAGGAGATAATCATCTCTGGCACGTATCTCCACATGCTAACATAATAGACCAAATTTAGGTTAATGGGTCAAAGATCTTTGCATATGTGTGCATGTTTACATGTGTTGTTTGGTTGGCTGTGATGAGTTAAAAAACAGATGTGGTTTGGTTTCACTCATTGTTGGACCATGAGAAGAAAATCTTTTTGCAAACAATAAACTTACAGGGGACACATGACATATAAATGGAACACTTAACAGTAAAAATGAACTATATATTCTTTCAGCATTTATTAATTTTGATAATGTTAGTTATACTTGTAATGTTAAAATACTTGTAATGTTGACTTTGTTGCAACCTAGAATTAAACTGCTGGTTTCGTCTGGCCAGAGGAGAACGGCACACTATTTCGACACACTATTTCCCTGAATGTGCATTAAATATCGCATGCGATTTATCGTGCAGCCCTAATGTTAGTACAGTATTTCACATTAGTAAAAAATTTGGGCACATCTTGGTGTTTCACATTAGTACTATTTTGATGAATGGTAGTATTTCACATTAGCGAAACTTTGCCACATCTTGGTGTTTCACATTAGAAATAATTAATACTGTAAAGCTGCTTGGACACACTCTGCATTGTAAAAAACGCTATATAAATAATAGTGACTTGACTTGACTAAAAAAAACTTGTATTCACTGCATTATGAATAAGTTTTAAAATATTCTCACTATTTTGCTGTTTTCTGACAAATTAAAAATACAGTGTTGAAAGTTTGAGTTTCAAAGTTCAAAGTTTGAGCACTTAGTAAAAAGTTGACCTTAGTAAGGAGTTAAGGCATAGTCACATTAGCAAAATTTCAGTGAATACTGGTACATATTTCACATTAGGTGAGTTTCTGCAAATAGTGGTAATTCATATTAGCAAAAACAAATGGCAAATGAAGTATTGAATTAGTGAATTTTTGGTGAATAGTAGTATTTCACATTAGCTAAATTTCTGTGAATGATGGTATTTCACATCAACAAAATTTCTTTAAATGGTTGTATTTTACATTAGTGAATTTCTTGGCAAATAGTTTTTTCACATTGTGAAATTTCTGCAAATGGTTGTATTTGACAAAATTTTGATGAATGGTTGCATTCACATTAGTGAATTTTTGGCAAATTATAGTATTTCACATGATTGAAATGTCTGCAAATGGTAGTACAGTATTTTACATTAGTAAAATTTTGGTGAATGTTAGTTAGGGCTGCACGATAAATCGCATGTGATATTTCATGCACATCTTGTCAGAAAGCCGGTTCTGTAATCAGCGGTAAATCTCCATCACGTGCGTGCTTTCACATTGAGCAGCATTAACTACACAGAGCCATTGTTCACTGACGAGCTGCGCAAAAATTAGCGAAACTTTGGCACATCTTGGTGTTTTACATTAGTAAAATTTTGGTGAATGGTAGTATTTCACATTAGCGAAACTTTGGCACATCTTGGTGTTTTACATTAGTAAAATTTTGGTGAATGGTAGTATTTCACATTAGCGAAACTTTGTGATTGGTGGAATTTCAAATGAGCGCAATTTGAAATACCAGAGACCATTTTGGGGACTATTTATGCCCTCACTGATTGTGCATATTCCTATTCAAATGACTGGATTTTGCTGACAGATTGTAACGGTAAATGTGTGCACCTTTACTCGGTTTATGGTGGGCGTTTTTTTTTGTTTTTTTGCTGCGGTGTGGAAACTGAAAGGTTGTCAGTTCAAACTCCACAGCCGTTAATCCGTGAAATACCACCATTGTTGCTTTGATCAAGATGCTTAACTCTAGGTTGCTCCAGAGGGATTGTTGCTAAAAAGTGTGTCTGTAGCTATATCCAGCTCTTTGGATAAAAGTTTATTTAAAAACTACCAAATTACTATTTACCTTAATTATCTTGCCTACTTTAAAGCTCATTATACAAGCTGCCATCCAGCTGCTTTCTGTTTCCTTCCCAATCAGTCTGTATCCAGAGATCACGTCTGACACCCAGCGACACGAGTACAAGAAAGAGTTTGACTCGGACCTCAGGACCTATAAGGAACTGTGTGCCGAAATGGACGACATCAGCGATCAGATAAACAAGCTCAGCAGAGAGCTGGACACACTTGAAGAGGGCTCGTCCAAGTACCAGGTGAGCGACTGAAACATTTCAGATGACTACTTCACCTCCCTGTTGTTCAAATCCATATGACTTTCTTTTTTATCTCACGTTACAGGCTGTAGCAGAGGAATATAATCATCTCAAAGACCTAAAACGGGTAAGTCATGGGTATAAAACTAAAGTATGACTAAACATCTGACTCACGTTCATAGTAATAGATGCTCTGCTTTTTTGATGTTAATATGATGCGTTCTTTTCCTTATTCTCTCTGCTTAGATGCCAGATTATCAAAACAAGAAGCACCTTTGTCGCAAACTGCACCACAAGCTTTTCCATATTAAACGAATGGTTAAGATCTATGACCGCCGTCAGTAATAATAAGCTGCATTAAACCACCACACCTGCTCTCCTTGTTAAACACTTTTGCATTTAACTGATGAAGCCATCAAACGACTGTGTGACCAAAGTTGCCCGAAACTGCTGTAACAATGGCTTCATCTAGTGCTTATGATTAACCTGAACCCTAAAGATGGTTGGAAACGAAGACCAGCGATTTCAAAACCGGTCCTTCCAAAGTCTTTCCATTACCTGGAACTTGTTCTTTCACTGGAAACATCTGCTTTTTTTAGAGTGAGTGACTTCATGTAGCCTGTAAAATGCCATAAAGCATTGCAATATTGTTGTTGTTTTTTTGTTGGGTGCGGTTGTGAGTGCTAACTTCGAGGTCAGCTGATTACATGTGTTTGTTGGAGGAAATGTACTTCGGACAATCCTCTCCAACTAAGTAATTTGCACCTGCATTGTCACATCTATGCTATTAGTTTCCTTGTGTATGACTGTAAATGGGTCGTGTGTTTTATTGTCTATTTCTGTAAAGGTGTAACAGTGGGGCACTGCTTGTTTTCAACTCAGAAAACACAAAAGTTTTTGTTTCGAGGTGTGCCAGAATAGTTCCCAGAAACAATTGAGGTATTTAAACTAGCACACCATTACAGAATTTTTTTATTATTTTTTTAACAACTGACTGCCTCAGTAAAAGAAGAAATGGAAATTTAAATCACAAAGAGAAACTGGAATTTCATATTCAGCTGTGATTTTTAAAGTTGAGTTTTGTAAAAAAAAAAAAACGGTGCCGTTGCAAATATGCAAAGATTCTGTTCATTTAGTTCTAGATGTTTATATCTCATTCTCATTGCATTTGATTCATTTCGAAATATTGTGATCTTCCTGCTATTTAAAACAGTAATAGCTGCTTTTATCTCTTAACCAATCAAATATCTATGCAAGATCAAATATTAAAGTTATGTTTGTTTTGTAATGTTGTTATGGACAAGTAAGTTTTGTTCAGTTTTTTTTTTACTCGTTTTTGTATGAAATAATTTAAAAGTGACAGGGCGTTCATTTTCGTCTGTTAATGAGATAATGCTTTTTGTTTCTCACATGCGTAACAGCATTTATTTTCATCTGTACATATTTGTCCTTTCTATTTTCAATAAAGTTTTATATTTTAAGTTTTAAATCTGTGTAAGTGCAACTAAGCTATTTAGAGTCGAAAGGTTTTTCTTTTATTGCAGTTTTTTTCAATCGCTTACAGACATTTTCAAAACTTTGCCTCTTTTTTTTTTCAAAACTTTACACACAAATCCAAGAATTGCACACACAAAATGCAAAATGCCTCACATCTCTTGCAAAATGAAGCACTGCATTCAAAATATCACAAACACATCTCAAAAGCAAACATTTGCAAACACCTTTGATATAATATTAATTCCTGTTAGATTTTTGTGTGTTACATAGAGAATTGTGTGTGCAAAAAGTGTTTTATGAAATTGAAAACTGAGTCAAAGGCCAAGAATTAGTGTATGGTTTTGCAGATTTGGTGTGTGGTTCTGGTGTTTGAGTCAGGTTTCAGAAATTGTGTGACAAGTAAAGATTTTGTGTGTAAGCAGTTGAAAAAAAAACGAATAAAAAAGAAATAAAGGTTACAAATAATATAATATAAATGCATATTTCGGCTTGAGACAGAATTTTAAGAACTGCGTCAAAGAATTAGAGCAAATAATGTAAGAAATGTTAGACAACGGCGTCCTCTGCTGGGTGTCTTTTAAATAACAAGCTGAGGAGAAGGCACTCGTCTTATTTCGGAAATGTAGCGGAAATATACGAGGAGTCGTTCGGGAACGTTACGGAAATACACGATCGTTAATCACTCCGCGTCAAGAAGCTAATAACTAAAGTACCAAGACGCGTGAACGCTGATTGGTCACCTAGAGATTCACCACACACTCCCGTCGTGACTGCTGAGGCGCCTGACAACGAGCAACGAGATGCACAAACATCAAACGAGGCTGTGATGTAGAAAAAACTTTCTGAGGATATTTCAAAAGGTTAAATAGAAAGGTATGTGACTTTCATCTTAGTAAACTTTTCATTCTGTCATCAGCAACGGTGCTGCTGCTGTGTTTAATGACTTTTGAATAGGCGCGCACCTGCGTAATATTATGACTTTATAACTTCTCTGAGTTTGAAGTGTATCATGACGTCTTCATTTATCTTCTGCTTTTTTGTCATCTGCAATAACGTATATTCTGCATAAACCTAATGGGAGAATAAGTATAGCCTATTATTTAGGGTTTCTAAATGCTCTGAGAAGCAGAGTTAAATGGTCATATTAACACATGAGATTATTATATTAATAGCAATGATATTTAATAATAATAATAATTATTATTATTATTAGGATATTTATTTTTATTAATAAAATGCAAATACATGATATTTGCATTTTAATGAAGGAGTCAGTCTTCAGCAGCTTTTTTTTTTTTTTTACAAACTACATCCAACGCCACCTACTCGCTCATCCTCAAAAATACACACAGGGCTGTACTGGTTTAATTCGCTTAAAGGATCAGTGTGGGTTCGGGAGATCTGCACCTTGTGCTCGTTCACGTGGTTTGTGTGTCTTGCAGGACCTCTTTAATCTGTCCCGGTTCAGACCTGACACGTGGTGTGAAAATATCCAACAATCTGCCAGGCTGTAAACAAGTGCACACCAGAAGAACCTGACAAGTACCTTTGCCTTAGACAGTCAGAGAGTTCTACAGTTTGATTAATGCTTATACAGTTATACAGATTAATGGAGTGGCTGCTAATGTGTCTGAGGCGTTGCTAGGGTGTTGCTATGCAGTTCTGGGTTGCTTCTAGGGTGCTGCTGATGTCTTGTGTCCAGTCTGTTATATAAAAAAGAAAGCTTATTAGGTCAACACAGGCTGAAGGTCTTGAGCCAAGTTTGGTGGATATAACTCTAGTCTGAAAGTTTGGGTTTTAGAATAATAAGCTTAAACACACCACCAGTTTGTCCAGCTAACAAAAAAAAAAAAGTATCTTGTGCACATACATGAAATCAACGTATGGAATTTGTGATCTATATGGCAGTGCATTTTTTTCTCAGGGCACCATGATGTAAATGTACAAACTTTTATCTCCTTTATTAGTCACGTTAATTCGCAGTGTTGGGGAAAGTTACTTTTAAAAGTAATGCATTACAATATTGCGTTACTCCATAAAAAAGTGACTAATTACGTTACTTAGTTACTTTCACGTTACTTGTAATGAGTTACCCCCAACACTGTTCATTCGTCTAAGTCAGCAGTTTTATTTGATCATAAATGAATGAGATTGAGTTCATTAGAGCCTAAATAAAACATATTGCACACCAGAGGAACATGATTGCAATTATTTTGGGCACATAATTTAGTTTCAGAATGTAGCGGATCATTAATAAAAGCTTATCAGAGTCTGGCCATGTCCATTCAGTCAACAAGTACAGTTAATCATAAATAAATGCAAGGAAGCTGAAGTAGTTTCTTTGGTGTGACATTGCACTACTGTCCCAAACAGAAAACAAGAGAACATTGTGCACCAAAATAACATAAAATTAAGAACCTTACTTAATTTTATCGTGTTGTATGGATTTGTGACATATGGTGTCAATACATTTTTATCAGTGCATATGTAAATGTACAAACTTATTTATAGGAGACCTCTTTTATTCTTCCTTCTTATTGTCTAAAAGCAGGAAATAAAGTACAGTTAACCTGAAGAAATACATGCTATTCAGAAGTCTAAGACTACATCGAAAATGTAGGCTAATTTAAATCTGGAAAGAAACAGGAAAATATTTTAAAACAGAAATATTGTGAATATACCTGAAGTATGTGCACAAGATAAATTCATTTATTTTGTTGGCTGGACAAACTGGTGGTGTGTTTAAGCTTATCATTCAAAGATCTGCATCTTAAAAAGAAGGCAATACAAAATAAAAGGCTTAATATTTCCTAATTTGATGATGCTGATTTCATAAATATCAATAAAAAGCTTTCCATCATGTACAGTTTTTTACAAAATAAGAATGAAGATTTTCCAAATGATAAAGTTTGGGGTTTACTCCATTTAATGTCAAAATGTTCTCAAATTTTCATTTGTCTCAAATTGTCATGATTATAATATAATTTGTAATTAAAGATGTTGTAATAAATTAGAAAATGTGAAATAGAAGCCATTTCACTAGTGGTCTCAGACATTTGGGCCATGTTGTATGCCTATATTATAAGCTGATTTTCAACATTTTAGCATTGGTTTGTGAAGATTTGGGGCTGGAATAAGGAATCGACTGAGTGTCGAGGTGCTCTGGCAGGTTGTGTGGGTGTGCTGGAGAAACGCTGAGAAGACGTGCTGATTCAGCACAAATACATCCCACTCTGTCCCCAAACACCCATTAAAAGTGCTCTCGCTGCTTCCTCGGGTCTCTCTGGACCTGGACCCACTGTCGTAATGAGCTGATCGGAGCAGAGCTGCAGAGTGATCAAAAAATAATGCGTTGTTCCAGCTTGAATCTGTGTTGAGTTTGCTGAGTTTTGAAAGTAAGGCTTGTTACAAACCCTTCCCATCTTTCTCAGCTGTTACACTGATCTTAAATTAATCAAATCTCTCTCTTTCCCTCTTTTGCTGTTTTCTGCATTCCGTCTCTTTCAGATTTCTAATAGGGTCACATCAGGCTGTCCAATATGATGAAAGATTGCCTTCAGTTCCTAATTGAGCCAGCCAAGAAGCTCAAGTTTCGTCTGAAGGTACAGTAGGTCATTCATTCATTCATTTGTTGCATCAGAGGATTTTTTTCAGTAATTTGGAGAAAATCATTAACTAACAAACTTAGTTGTGGCGTCATTTACACCACAACCAACAATATTTCCCACTAATAAAGTAGTGTACTTGTTTATCAATGAGACACAATGAAATGTGAGGCATGTGGCGTATGAAGAAAATAAGGAAAATTAAGGTAAATATCACTTGTGAACAGAATATATTTTTATATGTTACTTTTATACTGAATATAGTTATTTACAGTCAAGACACACTTGTCAAAACATATGACGAAATTATTAAATATTATTTAATTATTTAATATGAAAATATTATGTACAGTAATTGTGTGTATTTAGGATAGACTACATAAAGTGTGAGGCACAACTACAGGTGCTTTTATGTCAGATGAGTTGACTTTTATTAAAACTAGTTTAGTTGTGGCATCATTTTCATCACAACAATTTTTCCTGCTACAAAATTAGATGTAAGATGAAGAAAATAAGGAAAATTAAGGAAAATATCACATGTATATTTGAATTATATTCTGAATATAATCATTTTCAGTCAAGCTGTAACTGTTAAACTTGTGGAAAACCTTCAAAATTTAATAATTTATTTTACACTTTTCCACAAGTTTAACTGAAAATATTATTTAATTATGTGTATTTAGTATAAATAAAATGTTAGCTATGAAATTAGTCAGCAATTATAATCCAATTGAGATGTGGTGGAGATGTTCATGACTTTCAAAAAAAAATTAATATAACATTTATAAGTTTAGCCGTTATATTCCCTGGTGGAGCCTTAGTTACCCCATAAATCCCAACTGTCTGTGCAGGAGACGCGGAAGAGAGGGAAACATGTGAAGAAAGAGCCGTTTGAACAGAGAGTCAGCTGTTTATAATGGAGCTCGCGCGAGAACTCGACAGGATCTGTCAGGTAAGACAAATATATGGTTGCATTGTACCTGTACCTGACTTTTCTCCAGCTCTTTAGAGTCAGCTATTGAATACATTTCCACACACATTTTCAAACTCTGTGTATCTCTGTTGGAAGCTCTTATGCTGATGTCTTTCAGAGGTCAGATATTCTGGCTCACATCTGGATCAGAA